CAGGGCCCTGCCAAGACAGATCTTCAGGTCTTCAAGATTTCCTCAAGCTAGAAAATACTGACCTCTCTGATCAGCCTGCTCTAATGTGTAGTTCTTTCCATTGCACTTTTTTTTTTCCTTCTTATATCCAGCTAATTTCTTCTGAAGTAACCTCTGCCCATTGTCTCTTGTCCTTCCCCTGAGCACATTTTAGAAGAGAGCACATCCATTTCTCACTTCAGTCACCGCCATCAAAACTGGAAAGCTGTAATTAGATACCCACAGGCCTTCTCTCTTCACTAGTGCAAACCCAGATCCTTCAGCCTTTCCTCATGTCAGCTTCTACAACCTCCAGTTTCCTCACTTGCCCTCTGCTGGACCATCTCCTTTTTTTTTTTTTTTTTATGGCTATCTTGAATAGAGCAGCTAGGGGACCAGAACTGGACATGATATTCCAGGTATGGCTTAAAATGCACTCAGTGGAGAGTATGCTGCCCATACACCTGTTGAGGCAGCCCAGGACATGGTTTGCCTTCATTGCTGCCAAGGCACAGGCTCAGATCACTGCCCAGTGGGATACTCGAGGCATTTTCAGAAGAGCTGCCCTCTAGTCATTGAGTCCTCAGACTCTTTTGCTACTTTGGTTATTAGGTCTCCAGTGCAGAACTTCATGTTTATCTTGGTAAAGGTCATGGAGCCTCCATCCCTGAAGATATTCAAAACTGGACATGGCTGTGATCAATGTGATCTGACTGGTGCTGCTTTGAGTAGGAGACTGAACTAGAGGGAAACCAGAAGTCCCCTTTCAACCTGAATTGTTCCATGGGTCAATGACATTTTGGAGTTTTAGATCATAATTTTTATTCCGCCCCCTCCGCTAAAATGTTTAAACAACCCTTCACTGTCCAAATATTTTTTTACAGTAAATTGTTCTATCTACCTCCTTGTTTTAACACTTCACATAACCTATTGACATACATTCTTTATATACCATGTGAACTGACACTTCTAATTACTATTAGAAGTGTCTTCAAGGTTTTGAAAGATTAGTAGAGTCCTACACAGGAAGAGATTCATAGTGTTATTTAAGCATTTTAGGTTTGAGCTTGCGGGAACTCAAAAGTTCTATCAGCATGCTCAACTTGTAGATTTCTTCACTACATTGTAAAGGAAAGAAGATGTTATTGCCTTAATACAATCTTTGTTGAAAGACATTTTGTTTTATTAGTTTGCATGCTGCCCTTTGATGTGCTCAGATTCTATTAACAACTTTATAATCAGCAGAGCCTCAGTTATTCCTGCAGTTTGCTTTTGGTGCATAGAATGCTTGCTTTGAATGATTACATTGTTCAAATAGTTTTATATTTTAAGAGGAATCTGATAATTACTGCAAATCTTACTGTTTGGTGTGCAGAACTGAGTAGTTTTACTAACAGTTATTCATTTAAATAGAGTTCATTTTAATCCCATCAGCCGAGAAATAGCTGCCCATGAAAGCAATGTACTTTGTAGCCTTCCCATACCAATCAGATGATTTTTCTAGAAGACAAGATATTACACAAAAGTGCTGCAAACAAATATTTGAAGGGAACTGCATTACAAAATGGGCAAAAAAAAGGGGATATAGTTTCAGGAAAATTTAGTTATTTCTGCTTCGTAAGGCTCAGCAAAATAAGGGTGAAAACCAGACACAAGGTACACCTCTTTCAAAGAGCTAAGACTTAGAGAAAATGATTGTTAAATACTCGATTCTTTGCAGGTAAAAATTGACAAAATATTATTCAAAACTAACAGGCACACATGCCTACACATTCACTGGACTCCTAAGAAATTACTACATTGGCATCACTATTCTGAAACTTTTTGGAAAAAGTTCTAGGCAATAAAACTTTTAAAGAACAGGGATAAGTGAAGAAGAGGAAAAGGACAAAATAGTCTAACTCTGGAATTGTTCTCAAAGTAAAAAATCTGGTATTGGTGAATGTGAACAGATCTTCACAAGGTATTCATGTTCAGCTTTCGTCTAATATGAATTTTTGAGTGAGTTTAACCAGATGAGAAAATAAAGACTTCATGAGGAAATTTAGATCAACTAACAGTTCAAGCAGAATGGTCAACATACCAAAACCAGACAGATCTGAAAACCAGAAAGCATAAACATTATACAAAAAAATGAGGAAGTGAGGAAGGGGAATTCAAATAATATTCAAATTTGGATGCAAATCAAGTGTTATATCTTACCACAAAAGCACAAGAACTCAAGCCTAACAATCATAGTTGGTTATCCAACTTCCTTTTGAGAAAGTCTTTGCATCTGAGAAGCCATGCAACAATCATGAATAATAGTAGTAGCATTCTAGATTAGAGGTCCATAAGGATACTTGCATAATGTCGTATTTGTAGTGACCAGGAACAACATAAGAGGCTGAAATGCTCCACAACAAGCAAGAGTCTTGGACTAAACTACAATAAACAGTAGGCTAGTTCACATTTCTTAAGCAATAAGAACCTTTATTTAGGCAACCTGGTGGTGGCCTAAAAAAAACAGCCAACCAACCCAAAAGTAACTGGGTAAGCTGAAACAGTCAGAAAGAAGTTCTTATAGGATTATGATAATGCTACCATATGTAAATATATTTGGTTTTCATTATGGACTTGTAATTACATTTAAGAATAGCATGGGCTATCACATAGATGACTGGTGAAATCTGGTGTTTCTCAAAGTTATCAGGAATTCACTTACCTTGAAATTTTTTTTAAGTAAATAACCACCTCATGGTTTAAGGCCATTTCAATTAGAGACTAGTAACTGTGCTGTAGAAGAATCTTGTTCCTGCATACTGAGTTTTTAAGCAGAAGAAGAACCTGTCCCCTCCCATCTCTTACACAACAGGACTGCTAATGCTTCATAGAAACTCTGGGTGCATGCTTCTCTGTGCATGTGCGCAGGAGACCTTATTGCTTAGATCCAGTCAAGAAACTGCTGCAGCTGGTATAAGAACTTGTCATAAATCACTGGGATTGAATTACATAAATCACCATTTTCTGAAACCAGTACTTAGCATTCCACAAGTTTCTTCAGGACAATCAAGCAGTGAAAGAAAAGGTGCAATGTGGTTCCCCTTGTGTGGGCCTGGCCACAAATCTGATTTAGCAGATCACAGCTAGTAGGCTACTGCTAATCTCTTTCTTGATTATTATTTATTTTTGTGGACACATATTATATAACATGTGCTTTAGACCATCTGTTCCATAGATATTTTTGGCTATCAGAAGTTATTGCTAAAACATTGTGCAATTTATTTTATTTTGCTTTTACAGGTTTATATAAAGCACATCAGAATCGAACATAATAACACGGAAAAAACCCAAACAAAACCCAACAAAAAAATCTAAAATCTAAAAATCTTATCCTACTTTGATCTTGCTAACTTGAAATTCAAAATCTTAGAAATAGCTGTTGTTGACATAATCTTGAAGTGACAATCTTTCATACAGTAAGTCTTGAACTCGATGCCAGACCACCTATTTATTTGAAGGGTAAGCACACCAGCATTGACAAATTCAAGCTGCTCTTGCTCCAAGACAGCTATATCTTGTCAGGGACAGACCTAATTCACACCACTTTCACATTGTGTGAAGGTTATTTACCTTATTAGTGAAAGAGAAGCATGCATTAATAGGACTGGAGATTTTACAAGTAATGGAAGAATTCACTTCTCTTGGTTCCCATTTTGGAGTTTATGGACTACTATTATTAATTCAGCTATGTAATCCTCTAAATTCCCTTTAGGCTCTTGAGTGAATATGTTCTCCATACTTTGCAAGTGATCATTCTGTGTAGCTGGGGTTAAAGTATCTATGATCAAGTTTATGATACAGAAAAATCTCAGCAGAATCCTCCCATGCATACCTACACCAGAGCACGCCAGTTTCCTCTTCAGTAAACTCCAATGCAAATGTGCTAATTTCTACTTTCTTTCTTGCACATTTCCCTTATACTCTGGGGTCTTTGGCAGGTGTATGCCTTTGTCTCTTTGTCTTTTATCGACTGCAACAGAAGATGCCTGTTGGCTACGTCTAGCCAACCAGGCTGAGGGGGAGATGAGCTTTGGTTAGGTTGTTTTTCTTAGAAAACATTCACAGGCTAATTGCATGCTCATTATTATATACCCATTTTTCATTTAAACATATAAAGAGGCTACTAGATCATAAAAGCTCTAGTTTTTTGACAAAAAGCATTAGACCTGCCTTCAAGAGATCTAGACTTACATCCACACTCTTCCAGTGCTTGCAGTATGACCTTGGTTAAGTCAACTTTGTATTTAGACTTGCCAGTTTTAATGTAACATCTAATGCTGGTAAGACATAAAGCTAAAGGTGACTAGATAGAAGACAATAATACAAGCACAGAGCCCTGCCCTATTTTAAGATTAGCTAACTTGCAATCTACCGACTGACTTGGGGAGCTGATAACAGTAACTTATAAGACAGAAAAACCTGTGCTCAAATATCTTGTTTTCCATCACATAAGTGACAGCGACAGAGAAAGCAGGGAGAATCTCATTCAGAATCCTGATTTTTTTAGCCTTAAAAATCCTTGCTGTTAACAGAGCTTGAAAATCTTTGAGAGTTCTGGGAAAAATTTTACATATTCAACCAGTGTTGCCATTACAACAGAGGCATTTGGCATTTTCAGGTAATAACTAATAGTTAAACATTTGATTAAGCAGCCATTTTTTTCACATTTCCAAAATACTAATATTTAAAGGAAAAAAACCCATCAGTCTGCCACTTCACACACTCTGGGAGGTTTGTGCTCATCTGGAAAAAAACAGCATGATATCTCACCTGTATCACTGAGATTTACAGATGCTTAAGTGTGCCTTTAGTGTCGCAATTTTTTTTTTCAACCTGATCCTTACTATATTCTTTGCAAACTAGCCATATCAAGAACACGCTCTTCCCAGGAACAGCAATAAAGAGGCGAGAATTCAGTTCATGAGAAAGGCATGACTTACTTTGTGAAAGTTCCTGAAATATGCCGCTTTCTCATCTGGAAATTTTTCTAGTCTCCTGGGTCCTTTACTGGAAGCCTTCTTGAAAACCAACCAACAACGCCTGAAAATCTGCAAATGAAACCCGTGGATTATATTAGCTTTTCTTTAAAGGTGGACAGCACCCCACATGCATTCAGTTACATAGTTGACCTGGAAGGAAATTTTAAAATTACAGTATTTTATTTTAGGAGTCTTTAAAACTTTGAGAACATCAATTATTTCTACACAAGTAATCAAAATTCATCAATTTATACATATTGATTGTCAGTCCTTTGTAGACTTTCCTCCTTTGATTTCTTTCATGCATGCCAAATTTAACAATTCCTGAATTCAAGTAAATCTACGAACTTTGGATACATAAAGAATTATAAGGCTGTTGTTAGAGAAGTTTCAGAAATCATTCCATACATTTCTAGCTTTCGTGTTTATAATCTATTTTTGTGAGAGTATCGATACCACTGGGATACTTTGCTTTTCACAGAATACAGTAACCAGCAGGCAGTCAGTATAAACCTGTATGCACAGAAAAGAAAATACAACGCTGAAATAAACACTAATGTGACCATTTCTGGACAACAACATCTAGTTTTCTCACTTCATTAAATGATAAACTTTCTAAGGAAAAACTACAAAGATTATTAACGTTTGGGAGCAAGTTGTGAAAAATAAAATCCTTCAAAAAGCACAAACCAAAACAATATTATCCTCTAATTTTTATGAGAAACACACTAGATTCTGTTTAAAATGTACTTTTCAGCAACAAGGGCACTTTATCAGACTATTTACCAAGCATTCTGATAGTATTGCCATTACAGAAGTATAAATCAGGACTGAATTATCAAATAAGAATACATTTGCAGTTTAAAGGGAAGCTGATTAAGGATAATCCTCTGGACTACGTTATGCAAGTAAGGGATACAATATTAACCTAGTTTTATAATCTATGAAAACAGCTTCCTTCATTATCCTTTTCAGTACTTGCACAGTTTATAAACAATAACACATGGATTTTTATGTAGTTATTTCAAGGGCACATATACTGTCATTATAAAAAATAAGCTTAATTAACTACATTCTGATAGAATAATGCTGACTACTACTCTGTTGCCATTATCTCAAATGAGTGTTACCACACAAAGTAAGTGTTTTCTTTTAAAAACCCCACCACTGAACTACCGTATCAATATGTTTAATTATGAAGACTTTTGGAAGAAAAGATAGCATTTAATGAAATTCCCTGCAAGTATACTTAGAAAGCATACAAGTTTTAGGCTTTTTCTACTAAGGTTGTAAAGTGGCAACTGTACAACTATACTTCCTATCTCAGAAATTACTTCATCTGACCTGGGGGAGAGCAAAGACAATATCATATTTTTTGGAAAAAAAAAAAAAAGACATTACACTGTGGGACATCATAAACCATCTTTATTAGATAGTACTTTCTTTAAACAATATCTTGGCAGTGTTGCAACTTACTTTATCAAAGCAACAGCACTGCTCCCACAGTTATCTTCTGATTAACCCATATTAACGTTTCATAACATTATGGTGTGAAAAGCTTTACCCATCGGTAGAGGATATCCACATCACTTTGACCTTACTAAAAGCAATAGCCCCAAATGTTCAAATGGGACGTATTTATTCATTTAATAAAAGTATCACTTTTAATAATATTCATGGCTCTTCTGGGATCTGGGTTGTTTTGGCTTTTGCTTGTTTTTTTTTTTTTCTAATCCATCTGTATTTTCAGTTCATCTCTCTTCCTCTGTGGAAAGTCTTTTCCTAAGAATTTTTTTTTTTTATGAGGGTAAACCCATTGTCTTAATCTCAAATCTTTTATTGATTTCCTTATTTTCATTATCCTCCCTTAATGGTCCTCAAAGACTTCCCTTTATAAAAACCAGATCAAGCTACAGGCTCCATCATCAGTGGCGGTGGGTTTCAGTAGCCACAGAATCCACATTTTACAGGTGATCTGAATTTTTGACAACTGGTGATCAAGTTACAGAAGTTTTGTCTTAGTTGGCCAAGAAGCTTTTTGAAGAGTAAAAGGTCATCTAATGCATGCACCAAAGCAATCCCTTCAGTGACAAATAAGCAGGCCCTCCTGAATTCTAACTTCAGTCTTTTTCTATTGGATATCAATCTAGGACAGCATGGAAGCAAGTTTGAAGCTTTGCAGCTAAAGTAACAAAATTCAAGAGGGAGGTCTTGACCCTTTTACTAGTGGGCAACATGCTTGTGATCTTTACGGATCACCTTTGTTGTTAGGCCTTTTCCCAGATTTCAGCACTGGTATGAATTCAAAGGCTTCAGTGCATAGACTGGGGGACTGAAGCGGCCTACCTTTTAAAGGCGAACACTGAATAGCAAGAAGAACCGTAAAGTTTTACCTTTAGACTGTTACTCCTTCAATTTAATGACATGTTTTTTTTCCCAGACCTTTAGGGAGAAGAGAGATCTGAAGAATGGAATGGATTGAAGAGGATTCCTGATGTAGTGTGTACATAAACAAAGGTACACACTTGCATTTGAATTTTTCCTTTTTTTAACCTACTTTAAGAGCTGGTATAAAAGTATACAGTTCCACTTCATTTCAGCAGCATTTTCCTTTATTACACCAACAGACAGTTTGTGTCTCAGTGTTTGAAAAAGCATTAGCATATGAATTTACCTATAAATATAGATAAATAGGTGCAGATGTGAGCACACAGCAAACAAACATTTGCGTTTCATAAGGCACTTCATTGTTATACAGAAGCTTACTCAATTATTCACGAACTGTGAGATATCTTTTATCCCTGGCCTACTTTAGGATGCCACTGGCTGTAATCAAAACTTCTGAAAGAATTCTAAAGTCCTCAGATAATTGGGGTAGTCACTGTGAAAGAAAGCCACATCAGGCCTTTAATAACAGAGAGAATAAGAACCACTCAAAGTGTTGTCTCCATAATATTTAGTATTTCCTGTGAGATTTATGTGCTCATTTAGAGAAGAGATTCAGAGCAGCCCTGCAGAGAAGGACTTGGGGGTGTTGGTCGATGAGAAAATGAACATGAGCCAGCAGTGTGCACTTGCAACCCAGAAAGCCAACTGTATCCTGGGCTGCATCAAGAGAATGACCAGCAGGTTGAAGGAGGTGATCCTGCCCCTTTATTCTGCTCTTGTGAGACCTCACTTGGAGTATTGTGTGCAGTTCTGGTGTCCTCAACATAAAAAGGACATGGAACTGTTGGAACAAGTCCAGACGAGGGCCACGAGGATGATCAGGGGACTGGAGCACCTCCCGTATGAAGACAGGCTGAGAAAGTTGGGGCTGTTGAGCCTGGAGAAGAGAAGGCTGCGTGGAGACCTCATAGCAGCCTTCCAGTATCTGAAGGGGGCTATAAGGACGCTGGGGAGGGGCTCTTCATCAGGAACTGTAGTGATAGGACAAGGGGTAATGGGTTCAAACTTAAACAGGGGAAGTTTAGATTGGATATAAGGAAGAAGTTCTTTACTGTTAGGGTGGTGAGGCACTGGAATGGGCTGCCCAGGGAATCTGTGAATGCTCCCTCGCTGGCAGTGATCAAGGCCAGGCTGGACAGAGCCTTGGGTGACATGCTTTAGTGTGAGTTGTCCCTGTCTTGGACAGGGACAGCGGGTTGGAACTTGATGATCTTAAGGTCCTTTCCAACCATAGCTATTCTATGATTCTATGATTTAATCAGTTTATCAGCAATCTTGAATGAGCACTCACTGCTCAATGAATATGATTTAAAAATTTTGTATTAAGGGCAATGCCATTGCTTTTTTCTTGAGTAATTCAGAAAGATAGTATTATGTACATGCTATGCTTAGGTTACTTACCTTTTATTAAAGTATCAATTAGAATGACAAAATTTGTTCAGTATAAACCTGAGAAGGATTCTATTGAAATTACCTGCTGAGTCCATGGCATAGCAGAACCTCTTTAAAGAACACCCGTCCTCTCTGTTTTACAAAATCCCACTACCTGTGCAGCTATATATCTGTAAGTGATGGCAGTAACTCTGCACACTTATGGTCTGGTGATGACTGATTCAGCAGCCCCTTGCAATATTGTACAAGAATGATTTCCACTACGATGTGCAAGCTTGCAGGGGACCATAGTCTCTGTTTCTAAGGCTGGACTCTGAGCAGCCTCATCTCATTAGCGACAGAAAATGATTCCAGATCTGGAATGATATAACCTTGTCACCCCCCAAATGATTTCTGGAATCTTTCAACTCAGAAATTGAACTTCCAGTGCTGCACCATTTCTAATATCTTTAGAGATCCCTTTTTTATATTTTAATTGAAACACTGCAATAGATCAATTAATAATGAAAATCTCTGCATAATCTTCTTTTCTTACTTTTCCTTCTACTTAATTCACCTCTCAGCTCTCCTTTTCAGCATGCTCAGATTTTTTAACATTCTTGACTAAATACAGGCAAAAGTTTGGCTTCTGAATGGGTCATTATGCCCATGGCAGGGGGGTTGGAACTAGATGATCTTAAGGTCCTTTCCAACCCTAACTATTCTGTGATTCTATGATGATTCTGCATCCTTATATCATACAGTTCTGTTATATTGTTGCCATGGTTATTAATAATAAATCCATTAAAAGACATATTACAGGAAATCCATTGGTTAAATTAGGTTTTTAGAAAGAACATTTTCCTTTTACTAAAATAATTTAAAATAATTAGTTTACAGTGGGAATCTTATGTATGACTTTTAATTTTCCAGAGATTTGTAAAGACTTTTCCTAGTCATTTACAATAGATGCTTTTGAGAGTAACATTTCTATTTATCCATTGCTATAGCGAATAAAGCTTTGCCAGTCATCACTAATATCTAGAGAGGGGATTTTGCTTGACAAGTCTCTACACATTATTCCAGAAATTCCACCTCACGCTCAAAAAAAACCCCAAAACAAACCAGAAACAACTCCCCCCCATTTTTTTAATTTTGTTTTAATAATGCAAAAAAAAGGAAGTTACAACACTATAAGCTTTGTTTTTCAAGCCACTTAATATGCTGAAATTTCCCTGTCCCTATCAAAT